TGCATGGAGGATCACTTCCTTTCCAGAACTGGTGTACTTATATGTATAGTGTACACTGTAGTACATGCCACCTTAAGTAATGTTTTTTTATTTTATATTTGATTGGGTTACAATATGTTATGTTGGTAGAGTTATGTCACGTTATTTTATGTAACAATGTAACAAAACAATTTTTGATATTTTTTCTTTATTATTCTATTATAGCTAAAATTAGTTGTTTTGTTTGAAAATCAACCAGCCCGCCCCACTAAAAAATGAATTTTACATTATGTAACAATGTAACAAAACAATTTTTGATATTTTTTTCTTTATTATTCTATTATAGCTAAAATTAGTTGTTTTGTTTGAAAATCAACCAGCCCGCCCCACTAAAAAATGAATTTTACATTTTGTAAGGAATCTTTTGAGTTTTGGTTATTTTGAAGTGAAGATTTAAAAAAAAAATTGTTTATTTCTTAACTGTCTAAAATTATACTTTGAGGTTAGGATTTTAACCTTTTTGCGATGTTCTTTCTAGTCAAACCTAATTTGCAAGTTGAGAATATCAAAAAGGCTTCTAATAAATTCCCATTCCCATACCGCCATACTATTTCTATTGGTTCAGAATAGACAACAAACACATGACTGAACCCTGATTGGATCAGGCGCTAATGGACTCAGCATACAGGAGTGTACTTGGTTCAATGCAAAATCAGATTTTTTTTTACCTAGGTTTTTTTTAACGGTTCAGTCCAAAGGATTCTAAAGTTTTCCTTGTGTTTTCCTGAAAATCCGTTTGGTCAGCAGAAATATGTTGAGGAGTTTAAGTTCAGTGAGGGTTTCGTCTAAGCTGTTGTAACTGTAAGATTTAACTTTGTGGCAGTTTTAATGGAACTATGTTACTATTTTTGGCAGGATTTATTTGTCTAAATGTTGTTAAATGGTTTTTTTTCGGGTACAATTAGATTAACCTTGGTTTAGCTAACTTAACAACTTTAAGAAAAACCTCTAAAGTATTAAAGGGCTTAGCTTGTGAGATGTTTTCCAATCCATTTCAATCCTTCTCTTCTTTAAGCTTTTGTTAAACGTAAAAAAAAAATACAATATCAGGAGGAATGTATCAATAGAAAATAAACAAAACATTTAAATGTACTTTCTGCGTTACTTATTTCGATTTCAATTCTGACTTTCTGATTGGTCCCGTCTAGGTTAGAAATTTCCCGACCTCTCATTGGTCCAATATTTTAAGTTAAACCATAGGAGTTTTTAAAATGCGTCAAAAAAGGGTTTAGTTGAACTTTTGAAGAGAAACGACTTAGCTCTCCAAAAGTATGATTGATAGTTTATCTATTCCTTTAAAAGTTTCTGGCACAGGTTTGATGCAGTCTGAGCTGAAAGCTTAAGATTGGATACCTTTTAATCCTGTTGCTTAAGCTGAATATTCACAGTGGACATCTTAGAACTTCTGCATAATCCGTTCTTTTCTCTCTTTTTGGAAATCCCTACTTTTTTCCGACCAATAAGAGTTCTCTCATTGATTGCGCGCCAAAATTTTAAAATTTCATGGCTTCTAATTGGCTGTTTGGGTTTCTCCAAACGCCCCACTAATTGGATGAATTTATACACTTTCCTAGATACAAACTAAAGATTAAATTAATCTCGATATCCACAGTTTAAAAGTTTTCAGCTCTGTTTCTCTAAATTTTATTTTAACGACTGCACTGGTGGGAAACTGTTCTTTTATCGCATACTTCAATTCAAATCTTTTTAAAGGTTGGCTAGCTTCTCAATCCCCCCGCCTTTATTCCCTCCCCTTNTGTAGTTTTCCCCTTGTTTACCTAGTTTGCATGTTAACCCGGGCTAGGTTGTCTAAAACCATTAAATTTGGCATTGCATGTTCCCTTGTTACACTGTGTGGTGTGGAAGGAAGAAAAGAAAAACTGATTTTAAACAGTTTCGTCTTAAACTTAATGAAGAGTCACTTGTAATTACGCTTACAGTCCCTTTAATATCATAAATGACATCATCAAAAAAATACAAAAATTTGAATTTTCTAATTTTTATATCTGTGTCTGTATCCGTATCATAAAGGGATTGTAAGCGTAATTGCATGGAGGGTCACTTACAATTACGCTTACAGTCCCTTTAAAATACGGATACAGACGCAAAAATCAAAATTGGAAAACTCAAGGTTTGATTTTAAAAATATTTTAAAAATGTTATTTATCATATAAATGCTCCTGAAAATGTTGTGATTTTTTTAAAAAGCTGACTAGATTACTTTTATACAGAATGTAAATGAAATTAGACAATGAAACAAAGAATATGAAAAATTATTTTATTTGACATATCTAAAAAAAATTGTTTGATATGTTATTTATAGTATCTACACCAAATTATATAAATTTAAATTTGTGTGTGAAAATAAATCTTAATCATAATAATATTAAAGGGACTGTTTGCTTGGAGGGTGACTTGAAGTTGCGTCTACAGCCTCTTTAATGTTTAAAAAGAATTCTCCGTCTCCCGCCATATCTATTAACTAATGAAAGATTGTAGGGAGGCAGGGAGCCGTATAAAATTAATTAAGGAGGATTTAAAGTTTGTCAGATATAATGTATTATTCATTGTTCACTTCTTCAATTCTTTTATGCAGATTACTAGACAGGGATAGTCGCAATTCTTCAGTTTAAAGGGACTGTACACGTATTTTCTACGGAGTCGTTGGGTTCCTTTGTCTGAGGATGAAGTGTCCTTATTTTTTAGCTAAAATTTTTTTTATTTTTGTTGTGGTTTTATGAGAGGAAAATGCCAGAATTAATATTGAATAACGGCAAATCCTTTTTAACTTTTTAAGATTTTCATCATCTTTTTCCTCATAATCGTTCCTATTTTAATTTTCCTGTTGTACTTAGATGATATTTTTAAAAATATTTATTTTCATACTTTTTATAAAAAGATTCTCCTATCCTAAAATCTTTTATATTCTTTCGTCTACTTTTGTTTTCTATCATTTATTTTAAACTACTAGTTTTTAATTCTCATGTAAGACCTTTAGAATGATATCTTTCTCGCATAACTCAAATATTTTTTCCAAACCTAGTCCCCAGTATATTGGAAGTAAATGGAATGGAAACTTCCCAGGGGTGTATAATTTCTTTAAAAATCATCCCCCCCCCCTTTTTGAAAATAATTTTTTCCCTACAAGTTTTTTTTTATATAATAATATTAAATTTGGGAAAATAAATGGTTAAAAAATGAATTTTACATTTTGTAAGGAATCTTTTGAGTTTTGGTTATTTTGAAGTTATAATATTAAATTTGGGAAAATAAATGGTTTTTATTAAATTTATCAAAAAGAATTTGCTTTTTGATTTTCAATTTTTTTAATTTTTTTTTCAAATCATCAAACCCCCCCCCCTCTACAGGGCGTGGGGGTAAATCTGACAAATTTACACCCCTGAAACTTCCTGTAGATAAATTGTTATTATTTGACAGGACATTGTGAATAAGATTTTTTCTATAAAATATAACCATGGAATGCTATGGACAACTTTTTAAATGCTGTCTTAATACAATGACAAAAACAATAGATAAAAATAATTCTTAATAAATATTTTTAATTCACACTTTTTATAATATTTATTATTTTTGATATTTGAAAATTTTTATTTTGGTTGGAAAATAGAAAGGCCTCCATTCGATTAAATGACTTCCATTATCTAGCGGAGAAATCTGCAAAAATACTTCCTTGAAATGTGTAAGAGAATAGTGTTGAAAAAAATACAATATATAAACCTATCTCTTGATCAAATAAAAGTTGCCTATTCAGCAATCAATTGATTATATACTCTCTAGAAATCCACTTCTCTAGAAATGTTCTCAACATTTGAAATTCTATTTTTCATTTCAAGAGTTGGGAAATAGTTGGGCCAAACTATTCTAAATCACAGTTTAAAAGTATGTATCCAAGTCCGTGTTTGTTTGGCAAGTTTGTTTGTGAGTGGGTTTGTTTGTCAGTGTATGTGAGGGGGTCGTGTGTCAGTGTATATGAGGGGGTCTGTTTGTAAGTGTATGTGAGGGGGTCTGTTTGTCAGTGTTTGTGAGGGGGTCTGTTTGTCAGTGTATATGAGGGGGTCTGTTTGTCAGTGTTTGTGAGGGTGTCTGTTTGTCAGTGTATGTGAGGGGGTCTGTTTGTCAGTGTATATGAGTAGGTTTGCTTGTCAGTGTTTGGATCTGTTTGTCAGTGTATGTGAGTGGGTTTGTTTGTCAGTGTATGTGAGGGATCTGTTTGTCAGTGTATGTGAGTGGGTCTGTTTGTCAGTGTTTGTGAGGGGTCTGTTTCTCAGTGTTTGTGAGTGGGTCTGGTTGTCAGTGTTTGTGAGTGGGTCTGTATCTCAGTGTATGTGAGTGGGTCTGTTTCTCAGTGTTTGTGAGTGGGTAAGTTCAACTATTTTTTAAGTGCTCTTTTTGTCCGGTTGCTTTTAATCATTTTTTCTTAATGTTCTTTTTATTGTATGTCTGTGAGAATGTGTGTCTGTCTGTTTGGTTTATTCCGTTAATCCGGGGGATTCAGTCTTTCCTTAGAAACTTAGCGCACTTACTCACATTCTTCATACTATATTATACATAATATATACTGTACACGGTACATAGTGTCTAGTGTACACTATATCATACATAATATATACTGTACACGGTACATAGTGTCTAGTGTACACTATATCATACATAATATATACTGTACACGGTACATAGTGTCTAATGTACACTACATCATTGATAATAAGTACTGTACATAATAATTATGTATTGACGTATACTGGGAGGGTTGATTGGTGGCTAAGCCCTCCCCCCTACCCGCGCATAGTGTCGATGTACAATACAGCATACATATATGTACAATGTATATTGTACAATTATGGTACATGTATTTTTTTAGTACATTTTAAAAACAAATGTTCCTTAGAAATGTATTTTAAAACTGGTTTTCTGTGTTTACTAATAATCCTTTTATTTAGAACGTTTACCTGGGAGAGGAAGTAGAAGAACCGGTTTTCCAGTATGTACCGGAAAAATGCCTCAGTCCGGCCTGGGGAAAGGTACGTAACTTTAAAAAACAGTCGCGGCATTGTATTACTTACTGTTTCGTGTACAATGCTGACTTTTCAGGTTATTTTTATAAAAGTTTTTGCTGGGAGAAAACTGTTTTACAAAAAGGGTAATTTCCTAAAGAATGCTTTTTTCATTGTTGAATATTTAAAATCATAACTTGAGCGTTGGGCATTCAACTTCCTATTACACAGTTTTATGGAACCAACTTGTCAGGATGAAGCTAGTCTGAGTGAGTTGACCCCTCTGCAGCAAAGTATGCTGCTCTTGGCAGAATCCCTGGAGAGTGGCGCTATCTCTGGACAGTTTGAGCAGCTCTACCGTAGAAATCCATCAATACCAATCACAGATTGCCACCTACCGGAGAATTCGGCTAAAAATAGGTAAATTAACCAAAATAAAGTGGTAAATGTCGTTTTTCTAGCTTAAAGGGAGCGAAAAATGAAAGGGGGTATAGAATTACAGAGAAAAATAAGTGCTGGGTCTATAAGGAGAAAATTGTTAAAAACTACTCATACCGAAGAACGTAGCGTCCATAAAAATTTAGAAAACATTTAACTCGGATCGTAAAAAATCAATTTAATTCCAAACAAATCATTCAGATATTAAAACCAAGAGTCATCTATTATTTTTCGACGCATTCGTATATAGTTTATATTTTTGATTTCTTTTAAATAATATTTCGCTGGCGCTGGATTTTCGAACATTCCTGGAAAATATGAGAATGTCTTCTTTATTATCTAAAATCCTCATAACAGGAATAAATGTTTTCAAAAGTAACTCTCAGACCATAAGCCTTAGCTTAAACTTCCTTTAATTTTTCGCGAACACTCCCTTTTGCTCTCATTGTATCTGTAGAAGAAATGTGCTATTTATCTTTGTAAAGAAACCACAATGGAAAATAATGAATTTTTAAACGTGAAGATCTAATTCATTCTTGGATTAGGCAAAGATTTTAAGAGTATCGTTATGAATCCCACATGGCAGTTTATAAATTACATTTTGAATTACGTTTACAGTCCCTTTAAAGTTGGATATTAATTTTTTTTTTTTATTTAAAGATCTGAAAACGCAATTTGTTTTTGTCAAACTTTGATTTTATTTGATTTGCTGGTGCAGGAGAGGAAAAAGTTATTTATCATTTTATGAAATATAAATAGATACAGTTTGTCAGAAGAAATTTCAATATTTTCTTTAACATTCTTCAAATGTCATTTACAGTGGCGAAACTAGAACTTTTGTAGCAATAAAATTTTAAGTGGCTTTGAATTAAAAAAAAAAAATTTTTGAATTGTTGAAGGGTTGGCTCTGTGCTCAATAATATACCAAATTCTTATAATAATCATGGCTTGTTCTTGTGTTTAAAAAAATATACTTACAAGAGCTTTAAAATGAACGACATTAGTAAATTAAACATTTTCGCGAAGCGCCAAAAAATTTGGTTCTTCTAGTGTCTTTTCATGTGGTATCGTCCTTCCCTGATCCATAAGTATTTCTGATGGAAGTCCCTCTGTACTTGTTTACCAGTAAGGGGCTTACACTGTTTTCCTCTTATAGTCTGCAAAAGTCCTAATAGTCTGATATAATCATTATTACATTTCTTGTTATTCTTCTTAGGTTGTCAGGTTGCGTGTAACCTTAAATGGTATATGTATAGTATGAGAAATAACATATATACATGTTTTTAGAGAGGATAAATTAAGAATGACTGATGTTCTTTAAGTTGAAAACTAGAAAATAGTTAAAAATTCTATTGGAAATGATGCGCGAAGCGCCAAAGAAAAATGTATTTTTTCTTCATTGACAAATATTGATAAAAGATGGTCCACAATTATGAGCATGCTGGAGTTAAGTGAGGGGGGGGGGGGGCGAAACTCGGTTCGCCCCCCCCTAGTTGCGCCACTGGTCATTTAATCATCAGTTACAACACTTGGGTTTCATTATGAAAGAAAGAACAGAAAAGTTTTCGTTTGAGGAATCTAAAAAGAAAGGCAGTATGTCATGTTGCAAACTTGCAACTGAGAACCTATAAACTGAGTTAACAATTGATTTATTTTTTGTAAAAAGTTTGAATGCGTAAAGACGATGAAAAAGTTGATGAAAAATTGGGCCCGGATAATTCCAGGATATATCCAGGACATTTCCAGGATATATCCAGGATAGATATATTATATATATCCACAGATTGAGAAAGATTTTCAGATTAAACCTCCGACACGTTCTTGACGCAAAAAGTAAAACCTTTTACGTTAAAAACTTTACCATCAAAGCACCAGAAATAGTTTTTTTATCAATTAAAAATAAATTTTTTGCAACTTCTGTTTTTTAAGAGAACTGTGAGTGTTTTTTTTGTAGAAGGGGCGGGCAAAATTACAGACAAGCTTATTAAACATCGACAAAAATCATAAATTTTTCTCTATAAGTTTAATACACTGCTGCTATGAATACAATTATTAAATAAAAATATTTGCACCCCTTTGAATGTATTTCCGACCGTATTTCTAAATTTCTACAAACTCGCCTCTACCCTACCGGCTATCCTAGCACTTCAAACTTAATATATTATACATTCCCCCTCTCTCGTAAATAAAAATCCCAAATTTTCACATTCTGAAATATTGCGCCACTTTTCCTATACATCCTCATATTTCTTAAATATTTTCCTATTTATTTTATTTATGTATTCTGACTTTGAACATTTATTAGAGTTGATTTTATCCCACTGAACTATACTTACAACACCTATTAGCTCTTTTTGTACTTGTACTGTACCTTTACTAGTTCTTATCCTCATATTTACTGTACCATGTACCTACTTCTTGTACTTGTACTGTACCTTTACTCGTTCTTATCCCCATATTTACTGTACCATGTACCTACTTCTTGTACTTGTACTGTACCTTTACTCGTTCTTATCCCCATATTTACTGTACCATGTACCTACTTCTTGTACTTGTACTGTACCTTTACTCGTTGTTATCCTCATATTTACTGTACCATGTACCTACTTCTTGTACTTGTGCTGTACCTTTACTCGTTGTTATCCTCATATTTACTGTACCATGTTCCTACTTCTTGTACTTGTACTGTACCTTTACTCGTTCTTATCCCCATATTTACTGTACCATGTACCTACTTCTTGTACTTGTTCTGTGCCTTTACGCGTTCTTATCCCCATATTTACTGTACCATGTACCTAGTTCTTGTACTTGTACTGTACCTTTACTCGTTCTTATCCTTATATTTACTGAACCATGTACCTACTTCTCATACTTGTACTGTACCTTTACTCGTTCTTATCCCCATATTTACTATACCATGTACCTACTTCTTGTACTTGTACTGTACCTTTACTCGTTCTTATCCTTATATTTACTATACCATGTACCTACTTCTTGTACTTTTACTGTACCTCAACTCGTTCTTATCCCCATATTTACTGTACCATGTACCTACTTCTTCTATGATTTCATTATTATACTCTCTCCAACCCAAATATCACTCTAGGTTTTAAACCACTCTTTTTTGGCATTATATATTTCGTTGTAACCCACATCATCATCAGATGGCTTAATATCTGTAAAATGTAGCACACATTAAAAATAAATAATTAAAATAATCAATGTTTTGTTAAAAACATAAACAAAAGTTAAATGCAAACGATATAAAGCTGTACAAATACAGGTTAATTTTTACAATATGAATAAAATTAAATAAAATTAAAAGAGACAACTTTCAGCAATGTAAACAATACACCCCCCCCCCCCCC